GTATTAATTCGTACGAGTCAGGTCGTATGAATTGTTACGAATTAGCCACTTTTTAATCATTCGGCGAATTCGTACGACTTGGTCGTGAGATCGGGTTGTAAAGACCCATAAAGGGTTAAAAAAAGATTCTGTCATCATTTACTCACCCACAAACCTGCACATTTTTTTTTTTTTTTCGTTTTTATCCATACAATGAAAATCAGTGGGGTTCAAAACAACATTGGACCCAAAACAACATGGGACTCTGAACGACTTTGAGGGAAAACAATTGTAAGAGTGAGAGTAATTGACATAATTAAAACAAAACAATGTTTAAATTTAAATCTCTATAATCTGCCATACATAACTAAGTGAACACACCTCAAAAAATCTTCAACGGTGTAAGATTTCATATTTAAAGGATATTTATATCAAAAGGTCCTTTTTTGAATAAACTAATGAAATCAGTGCTAAATCTATGCAAATAAATTCACGCCATTAATCAGAGAAGCTGACAAGCAACAATTCATATTGCTGTTAGGGGGGTGTAAGGAAGGGTGATGGCAAGGCTAAAAAAAAACTGATTAATTTTCCAATGTTACTCTCTCTCTCCCTTACATTTGGGGGTTACTGTTTGTGTTTAGCCTATCTAGTCCGCTACACCAAAAAAGTGTACATTTTACGGAATGGATTTTGTCCTCTTCTCCCAAACTCCACCCACCCCCAAGAGGACGCTTCTAATAAAGCATGAAAAATAAAACAAATGGAGGGAGAGCATTCAAAGTGTGAGAGGTAGGGGGCTGACAGCCGATAGGCAAGAGAAAATTAACTGGGAGCCCTGCAGTGTGGCCATATTGCCTGGAATAACTGAATTCGCTTCGGAAGAAAACTCAATGACAATTTTGATATCCATTTGCAGGAAGCTGAAAGGGATATGTCATAATAAGTGTCCATCTTGTATAATGCAATCCCCACCAGCACCAAAGCTTCACGCTAATATTGCTTGTCTTAAATGGCAGGGCCTTTAATATGATTTATATGTGACTTCTCCACTCCATTAAGTGCACTCGATAATCTGTGCTTTGACCTAGCGACGCCTTTTGGCTCAGATCCAGTTTTGATATTCTTCTCTTTTTTTTCCGCTGTCGCAAAATGATGATGGGATCAGTGTAAAGAATTGTCCATGAATGATGATGAAATAAAGCTGAGCTGACCTCCTTTTGTCACTGAATAATAGGATTATTAATATTAGTGTGAAGAAGTGACTATTAACTTCAATTAAGACTCTCCTAAGCTCTTGATATATTCAAATCTGTGAATAACTCTCCTGGCACTATTAATATTGGCATACAATGTTCTAGCCACATAAGAAGTGCTATCTAATGTTGTCCCGTGATGTCGTTCTTTTAAATTAGTATGCAGGATTATAATTAAATGCACTGCATGATGCAAAGACGGCAGCATTGTCTGCAATGTATGTCTTTTTTTCTTATACATCAACAGAAGCAATCAAAGAAACAAGAAATCAAAAGTTAAATGTCATTAAAATTAAATTAAAACCAACAAACAAAAACTAATACAATATATATATATATATATATATTTATATATATATATATATATAAACTGTTACATTTTTAATATAAAATAATAATAAATAAATGTATCCAAGTGATTTCAATCAATTATTCAAAGGTTAAAGTACTTGCATATAAAATCAAAGAAATATACTGACACTAATCTATTTGAATGTTCCTTTAAAAACATAATACTGATATAATCCATTACATCACCCATTTATTCAATAAACTACACAGTCAACTGCAGTTATGAACATTTAATGGTGACTAAAAACCTAACCTTAACCTAAATCATTAATTTGTTTAAAAACGACACTATTCAGTTAAACATGCTAATGTAGGGCCATTCTGACATGGAGAATCGCTCAGATGGGAGGGAGAAAGAAAAATGAAGAAGTCATTGGCGAGGAAACTCCAGAACAAAGAGGCCTTCAGCGAGCTAAACGTTTCCTGGGTCATATGCTCGCCCAAAAAGGGGCGGAAGCCAGAGTCATTGTATTGATTTACACAATCCAGCATCCTATTTGCTGGGTCAGAAATAGCACCCGTACTGTTGTCACAGCCTCATATATCACAGCGAAGCCTGTGGATAGTGTGTTATGGACACAAAGACACACAGATTGCAATGTGCATGAGAGGAGAGGGGGTCTGAGGTCAAGGGGGATTTGAAGTGCCTTCAGGTCACACTTACCAGAGCGCCTGAGTCAAGTATACAGTACTGAATGGTTTTGTTTTTAAATTATTTAAGAAGCAGGCTGCACAAACGTTTCCAAACGAACTGAACAGCTCTCGTTAATTATTTTTGAAGTGTGTTTATAAAATCTAACACTTCCCGAACTTGATCCTGAATGTATTGCAGTATCAGTAAACGCTGCAATGAAAATACTGATAAACAACTATTTGAGTTCTGTTTCATAAAGTATATGCTTTATACGTGTTTGAAATAGGTTAATTTTCAATATTAAATGTGAGAGTCGACGACTAAACAGCGCTAACAGATTAACATTGCTAAACCGAGATGAAAATATGTCTGATATAACACTGTACTACTGTTTACTGTAACTCACAAACAAACAATAGACAAGCAACTGATTCAGACATACAAAAGCAGTGCTGAGCACATCAGAGCATAGACCAGTGAAGGGAGGGAGACCGTCTGATCCGATATGGTTGGGTGCCTGCCATGTAATGTGTGTGCATGAGAGAGAGAGAGAGAGAGAGAGAGAGAGAGAGAGAGAGAGAGAGAGAGAGAGAGAGAGAGAGAGAGAGAGAGAGAGAGAGAGAGAGAGAGAGAGAGAGAGAGGGGTGGTTGAGGTGGAATGCAGGGATAAACAGAGAGCACCGAACATTTTTGAGAGTAACAAGGTGTCAGAAAAAAAAAAGTATTTTGCAATTCTCCCATTTGTTAAAATGTCACCAAATACATGTAGTCCAGAATGAAATTAAAATATCAGATTAATTGATTGACAAGATAAAGTCTGCTGGGCACAAGGATAGGCTACATTCTTCTTAAAAATGTAATTAATAAATATATAAAATGTTTGATTTTAATAAAGTGCCTTATACCTGCCAAAGACCACCTAAACAGCATTACCCTTGCTTTCAGTTCCTGACAGAGGCAAAGGAGAACTCTGATATTTGTGATCGCTGCCTGCAAACTGCGGAGCTCTATTAATTATGGTTGGCAAAATCCTCCAGACATAAGGTGCCAAGCAGACTACAGTGAGGGCTGGAGCCAACGACCCTGATGCCTCAGTACAGTGACCTGTAACAATATGCTGTGTGCTGCAACAGCCTTGCATATGACATATAATGCATCACATTTATTCAAATAAACGTTCAAACATGTCTCTAAATTTCAAAAAATGAAAAAGAGAAGCCTTTTTACTCATACCAGTGATACATTATAATTAAGTTTGGAAAGAGAACGATGAATCTTGTCTTGTTCTCGTTGTTCTCCATTAGATTTCAGATGTAGTCAAATATCGCGAGAGAAAAAAAAACTTTAAGCACGCAAACACGACGAAATCTAGAAAAGTCACACACACAAAAAAAGTTTATCGCATATCGTCAAAATATTTCCTAACGTTTGTACAATTTAATTATGGTGGAGAAATGTGAAAAAAGGGTTAAAATTAAGAAAATACGTGCACGTTATAGGCCTATTTTAATAGCCACGATCCAAAAAGATTTAAATAAAACGACTTGACTTGAAAGTGACTTGACTGAACTGGAACAGAACAAAAGTATAAGCATAGGCTATAGCCTAATTAAAAACAAAAATAAAAATACATTCATATCAGGCTTTTATTTGTCTGTTCCTGGAAGAAATAAAAAAAAACTAGTTTTAATTAAAATCATTCAAAATCTTTTCATGAAAGACGAATTAAAAAGATCCAAAATACGTTTATTCCTTTTACATTTGCTACACCACTGCCGAATGCTTAAAGCAAAAAAGCAAAAAAGTTAAACTTTAAACAATACTTTTTTTATAATAATTTGAAATTAAAATAACTTATTATACACAAATGCGAGACTTTTAAATTTGCTATGAAAAGAACACAATAACGAAATGTTATTTAAGCCCTTATAAAGGCCTTTATCTCAATGTCATATAGCCTACTTCAAAAAACTAAACCTAATCGTTTTTATATTTTACACTAAGCAAGCTAGACGACACCACGACTATAAATGCACCTAATGCTCTATTTGCTGTCCAATAGGAAAATAATAGTCTACGGATTAATGTTCGAAGTGTTTAAATTAAAACAAAAGATTACGGCTTTTGGAACCGAGACGAATAAATTGCGGCGTAATCGTTAACCATTATAGCCATTACCACATGTACAGAGCAACACATTAAAAATAATTTTTCTATTAATATATTATTCAAAACGAATTTTAAATAACATGCACTATAAAGAGAGAGACATAACGCATATAACAATATAAATGTAGTCATTTAAACACTGAAAATATCATGTGAAACAATAGCCCACTGCAACACCAAAAGAAACATTGAATTAACATATTAACGAAAAACTTTGTCAAACTACAAGCATCAGTGAGTGAAAAAAAAAAAAAAAAAAAAAACTAACAAATATATATTTTCGACAAATTGTCGGCTAATCGAGATAATGAAAATGGAAACTTAAAATTAGCAAGTGATACAGCCTAAATCTATTCTATTAACAGAAATAAGAAATTAGGGTTTCTGATAGAAAACAAAAATAATAACAGACTAATAGTCGATATAAAATCCATATATATCACGAATAAACCTGTATCTTCTCCCTCCAACGTGTAGGTGTGTTTCCACCAGACGATGTGGTTGTGTATAAAAGCGGAGGATTAATTTGTCGTCAATAAACTGAAGGCAGTGACGACTCGGGCCGTGATTGGACGAGCTCCTCTCAAACCCTCCCTTTATAATTTCACAGGAGTGAGTTCGGAGTCTTAAACAAACCAACAACGCTTGGACACACATTTAAGAGCACCCTGCACTTTCCAACCTCTATTACAAACAGAGAAAAGACACCGCAAGTGGATTCAAGAGGTTTGCTAAACTACTGATCCGTGCGTATGGACTTTTAATTGCTGATTTAGACCAAGGGCTTTGACTTTTTTTTTGGTCGCAATTGAAAACAGAAGCTGATGATTTAACTGGCATACTTTGTGCATGTGCTCCACGCACAAATTAAAAAAAAGGTATTTTTTAAATTTATTTCAAAACCCCCCTTTTTTCCTCTAAATAGTCTACTTCTTCTCTAAAATTGGCTCCTGTACAAACAGCCGCGTTGGATCCCTCGGGTTACTGTGAGACTCCGGTGTACAACCCGGATCTCTGTCCAAATATGATCGCCGCCCAGGCTAAGCTGGTGTATCATTTAAATAAATACTACAACGAGAAATGCCAGTCTCGGAAAGCGGCCATCTCCAAGACCATCCGGGAGGTGTGCAAGGTGGTCTCGGATGTCCTGAAGGAGGTGGAGGTCCAGGAGCCCCGCTTTATCAGCTCCTTAAACGAAATGGATAACCGTTTCGAGGGGCTCGAGGTCATCTCCCCTACTGAATTCGAGGTGGTCCTCTATCTGAACCAGATGGGGGTCTTCAACTTCGTGGACGACGGCTCTCTACCGGGCTGCGCCGTGCTCAAGCTAAGCGACGGGCGGAAGAGAAGCATGTCCCTCTGGGTCGAGTTCATCACGGCTTCGGGATACCTGTCCGCGCGCAAGATCCGCTCCAGGTTCCAGACGCTCGTGGCGCAGGCAGTGGATAAGTGCAGCTATAGGGACGTGGTTAAAATGGTCGCGGACACCAGCGAGGTGAAATTACGCATCAGAGACAGATATGTGGTTCAGATCACCCCCGCGTTCAAGTGCACCGGCATCTGGCCGCGAAGCGCTGCCCACTGGCCGCTGCCGCACATCCCGTGGCCTGGCCCGAACAGGGTGGCAGAAGTCAAAGCCGAGGGGTTCAACCTCTTATCGAAGGAGTGTTACTCGTTGAACGGGAAGCAGAGCTCGGCGGAGAGTGATGCCTGGGTGTTGCAGTTCGCCGAAGCGGAGAACCGACTGCTCCTGGGAGGGTGCAGGAAGAAATGCCTGTCGCTGCTCAAGACGCTGCGCGACCGGCACCTTGAGCTCCCCGGGCAGCCTCTCAACAACTACCACATGAAAACTCTTGTGTCTTACGAGTGCGAGAAACACCCGCGCGAGTCGGACTGGGATGAGAACTGCCTCGGGGATCGACTGAACGGGATTTTATTGCAGCTCATTTCGTGCTTGCAGTGCAGGAGATGCCCCCATTATTTTCTGCCAAACCTAGACCTTTTCCAAGGGAAGCCACATTCGGGCCTTGAAAACGCGGCCAAACAGACTTGGCGACTGGCTAGAGAAATTCTAACCAACCCTAAAAGCCTGGAGAAACTCTGAGGTAAAAATAAATAAAAATAAACGGCATGTTTATGAATAGAAGGCCTGACTGATCAAAGTTCTGAGGCCTAGACGCTAATCAGGAACTCTTCCACAAAATGGTCACTGTTGTTTTTGTTGTAAAAAATATTTTAGATAGCTCCGTTTAAAAATACTTCACATGACACGAATGTGTCATAAGAAGGGAGCAAATTGTATCAACAATCAAAATGAATATAATTACCTGTCAGTATTACTGTTTCTTTCTTTTCTTTTTACGAACCCTGCCCAACAACTCATTTTACCTAAAAGCTTTCGAAACAAAGCTGTACGAGACAGAGAACCTGTACATTTTTTACTGTAAATAGACACATTTGTAGATTGTGAATCCGGTGGTCTGCAGTTGTGATTGTTGTTCTGTGACACGTAAATAGAAGTATAATTTCACATGTTTTAACATTCGCCTGGATTATTTCTGAAGAGAGAAAAAACATGCATCCACAAATTAATCTATTGTCAATAGCAAATTTCGAAAGTTTACATTTTGATGGTACTATTTCTTAAACATTCCATTCGCATACTTGAATTCTTATTTAAAGTATATTCGACCATTTTTGTTTGTACCTGAAATTGAGAAAATATATATATGAAAAAAATATACCTGAAAATAATGCACTTGAAATACACTGGAATATAACATTTTGTGATTTGATTTTTTTTATATCTGTCTCTGAATTTATTTAAAGATTTAATAAAAGCAAATTAATATTTGTGTCCAAAAAATGATTCATGCTACATAAATATTGCAGTGTAATATAGGCACGATTTTTTTTAGGGGGGGTATTGTTAAGCCTCTTCGGCGTGAAAATTAGGCTACACGATGTAGTCCGATTTTTTAAAATACAAAAATACACAAAACAGGAAAATAAGATAATGTCTTACTGTGGCTATTAAGAGAAGGACAGGTGAACTGAAATATGGATTGCACAGACAGGTCAGAAATGTGTGGCTTAACGATATAATTCTCTCATGACAGTTCTGCACATCTGAATTGCACCCCTTCATTTAGATTTGTTCAAATTGTTTTTATTTTTCAACCTAAAATCAGTTATAATTAAAATAAGTAATATTTCCTTCACTCAATGTTATTCCGTGTTATTCATGACAAAACTCAAGATTGCCGATTCACGCAATTATTAGTTTTAAACATAGGCTACGTTTTGGTTATTTTAGGGTGTTGTAGCCTACATGAACTATCACTTTAGATGACATTTTACCATGCAGGCACAGGGGAAACACACACACCCACACACACACAAAAAGGACATTCAAGGGTATGGGCCTCGATTCAGAAAGACATGCATATATTTTGGACGTTATTGAATTGACGGGTTTAATAAAGTGCTACAATTATTAAACATTTTTATTGTATTTGATTTTGTTCCATTTCATTAGGAGCGCAATTCTTCTTGGTTTTTGTGCACAGTTACAAATGCGCAATAGAAATTCAACCTACTTTGGCATCAATGCGTCTGAAGGTTGTGTCATCTTCGTCCACTTCAAAATAGATTTCCGTGGTTGTGATAGAGAGAGTCCCACGGGCTTCAGTGACCGGGGCAATAAGCTGGGCCGGGGTGCTCAAGACAACAGGGCCTATAGCAAAGAAACACATTTTATTTTTCACAGGGGAATGTATCGCCAGTCCGTCATCAACAAGCGATACGCAGGCCTAACGCAAGTTAGTAACTGATGTAGCTAGTTATGGCTGCACAACAATGCACAACAATACACGTAGGCCTATTCTAAACAATTTGTATCATCTCTTCAGAATGAGTATGCAATAATTTTTCAATTTTACATTTTTCGAAGAAGATTTTGTAGACTTTGACGAGGTCTATCGATCTTCATCGTGCATGTGCGAAATAAAAATGGTAGCCTATGTAGGCTATTCGAAATACACCAAAATAATTGTTTTAATAGCCTAATACAAGATAAATGTGGTGCAGTTTTACACAAACTATAGCCTATACGCATGAAAATGAAACGGGGAAAAAAGGGGAGAATTTTCTAGCCTACATGAATTGTTGAAGTGAATCGTTTCAGCAATTTACAATTTAGGCTAATTAGATTTCCAAATGAAGGCATTGGTCAAATGGCATTATATCAAGAAAAAAATGCGAATATTTGAATAGGTGAGCGTTCTTATGAGACCCAACAGCAATCATTTCACAGTCACTTTCCTTCGTTATTTTGCGACAAATCAAATCTATGTGAATGATACGCATTTACGCGCTTCCTAATCAAATCAGTTGTTGTGATTCCATTTTGATTATATGAAACCTGTAAAATTGGCCTTAAAACATTATTAAAATATTTACAGATGTTGTGACCTCCGGTCAGATGACACATCTAATCCTGTGTGTGGGTGTGTGTGTGTGCGTGTATACGCGCGCTCGCCCTTTATATTTTTCTCTTTGACCAGTCCTCTGTCTTTTATTAGGCTAGTTGCTGCAGCCCACGGGTCTGTCCTGGATGTGAGGAGAGGCTCTTGAAATTGGGATATTTATCGATCCCCTGAACTCCAAAGAGCCACTTTAACGTCTCATCAATCTTAATCTGCTCTCCTCGGCCAATTATGCTCGATACTGTTGCAAGATTACAAGTGGATTTGGGTTTCAATTCCCAGAGCTCTCCTTCACTGCTCTCCCTGACCGCTCGTAGAAACCCAAGCCACTCTGCCTGCTTTTGTGCCAGCTAGAACATTCGCCATTTCACCTCCCGACTGTTACAGTTTGAAATTAATGAAAACCAGTATGTTTATAGCACAACCGTGTATAAAGCAAAAGGACGACTAAAAATAAATAGTCTTCTATGGTTTAGCTACAACAATACACGACAAGAATATTTTACATAAATGAAAAAAATAAAATAAAAATAAATACTGTTTTTTAGGTAGGTTTTTAGTAGCAATTAATATCTGGTTGAAACCACCAGTCCAATTTAACATAGCCTATTAATAACAACTATAGGCTAAAACAAGAAGAGAATAGAAAGTAAGCATTAAATATTTAGATAGCTAAATTATGTTGAACGAATAATTATTTTCTTTTCTTTGTGAATGCAAATTATTTGAAAAGCGGTAGCCTATCGGTTTTTTCTGGGTAAATTTAATCCTAATCAAGTCTCTCTAACACGTTTAATAGAAAAAGAGGCTATGGGGGCACTTGTGAATCCAGACATCATTAATCCAATGCGCAGAGGGGATTAGAGCTAAAGCCACCCGGGACCTTTAAAAAATGGGGGTGAAGCAAAAACTTTCGTATTACAGAATCAGAGCGATCAGGTTTCACATGTGATTTCACCTGCCGCTTGGACTGGACCGTTTCTCCATTGTTGAAAATCCATATGAACCACATTTAGGCCCATGTTTCTTATAAAGGCCAATTTTATAGCACTGTAATATAGACTTGCCTACTACTATAGTACAGCCTACTACTGTATGCACCAACATAAAAATTATAATAATAAATAAATAATAATAATAATAATAGCTAATATCTGTCAAATCATTTGAAATTTTCCATGTGAAGCCTACACTCTAAAAAATGCTGGGTTGTTTTAACCCAATTTTGGGTCAAATATGGACAAACCCGAAATGTTGGGTTAAAAATGTAATGTAAAAATTGAACCCAACGGCTGGGTTAGTCCATATTTGACCCAAAGTTGGGTTAAAACAACCCAGCATTTTTTAGAGTGTATGGTGAATTTGTAGTGATGTATTGTTGATTTGAAAGTACTATGAGGATTATCAGATTATTATGTTGGAATGAAACAGGTGCAGTTGTTCTCAGCAAATCTGAACGGCATGAGGCCCGGCCGCGCGCGCTGTGTCCTGACGTCAGCTGCTAAAAAGGCTGCCTCGCGCTATCGACTGTGATGTCACTGTGGCGAGACAAAGGGTTGCTGGGAAAGCATGATTGTTTACTCTATCTCTCTGTCACTACATGGGCCTGATATGAATATAAAAATTTGAAAAATATATGTTTGATCAGAGTTCAACGTAGATAGGCTAGTCTATTAAACATTAACTGATACAGAACATGAGAAGAGTCTTTAACAAAAATAAATAAATCTTTTAAAAAATCTACATAATTTAACAACTTGCAAAATGTATGAATCACTATTATAATCCAATTATACAATGTATTATAATTATTTATTAAACAATTTTAATTATTAAAATAAAACAGCTTCATACATTCAATTAAAAATGTGAATAAGTATGAGAAACAGAGAGTATGTGAAAGAAGAAAAAAAACACAAATCAGTACCATATCTCTCTCACATCACACCTATTCTGTCTATGATTAGTTGTGGGTGTAAATACAGTCATGACAGCTCCTGTACTCTGATTGGCTGCAGGCAAACAGAGCCCCTCCCATTGGCTGTGAGAAGGCTGTTGTTGATTGGCCTGTTGTTTACACTGATCTCATTAGCACAAGCAATAGCTTGTAGGCCTCAAAATAGAAACAGCGCACACACACAGCATGCTGACACAGATAGCACAGCTCCCCTTGTGGTGAAGACACATAATTCAGATAACAGAACTAAAACAAAACACACAATATAGATGACAAGCATAAATATACGTTTTTTTTTAAACTAAACGCTGAGCAGATAAAATTATCATCACTGAAAAGAGGTCACATCATAAACCAACTGCCATGAGTCATAATAATAAATACAAGAGCATTTTCATTGATGAAAATAATGTTTATGCTGTTTTCTTTCATTTATTACCTAAAAGTTGCCTTTAAAAAAAAAAATCAGTACATTTTTAATGCTGCTGGAAATACACAATCAGTGCATTTGATGCTTTATATTAGTTATAATGGTGCTTATTTAAATATCAGGAATTTATAATCTGTGCCAGGATCTATGATTGGTAGCATTCCAGTAAAATTACTTTGAACATAGATGGAAGAAAAAGAATAGCAAAAACACATCAGTCTGCAACCCTTTAAGGCAAATTGGGAAAATATATAAAATATAAATCACCAGAGGGAAAATATTAGAGGTAATTGAGGCTAACCTAATTTAGATCTAATAAATGTAATCTTACAGAGTCAAAAACAAAGTAGATTATTGCCCAGAACTGCTCAGACAGTGTGAATGAGTTTTGACAGGTTGTGTTCTGGGAGCTTTAATACAAAATTAGCTACGCATAGTGGACTGAGCATATAGAACACTTCTGATAGATAAGAACATAAATAATACAAAAAATAGATAAATTAGAGCATTGGCTTATTTCTACAGACGCATAAATATCTCACCGCTCATTTTTAACCTTCATTGACTAATGAAGGTCTGTGGAGCGAGTCGAGGCATTGATTATTCTGGGTATTATTAATAACATGTCTGTTGCACATTCAGAATACATACATCACATCAACATCTTCCGACATAGAGCTGATAAAAATGTACTATGTAGAGGACAACCAGTCTTATCATATTGCAGCATAATGGAAATGTAAGTGATTTTTTAAATTAAATGATTTTTTTTTTTAAGTGATGAGACCATTTTAGTCATGAAGGAAAAATCATCAGATTCATGATCTTTCAAAGATTAATCATAACATGTTTAATTGATAACTGCAACAGCAGTTGAATTTGTTGGAAAAGTAAGGTTGTAGCTATAAATAATGAACTCATCTATTGATCTTGATTAAATCAAGATTGTTAGTTAGATTCATATTTGATTTAATTCTAAAAGTAGTAAAAAGTTTGTTATTGGTTTTTGAAGTTTTAATCTCTGTTCAAATAGTCAAACCTGCCTCTGGAAATAAAAACCCGGGGAACGAAACTTGCTGTGAGAAAAAAAAAAAAAAGAAAGAAGAAAAAGACATATTTAAAATAATGTTATACTTATACTGTAGTCTTTAAAACATAAATAAATAAACATTCAGCATAAAAAAAGAAACACTGTCCAGAGCAATACTTAACCCTACACACAGCCAGAAAAACATAAACACAGTCCTAAAGTAAAGTAACCACACTAACTACACTGCTCTGCATCTAGATTGACAAGTAAGATATATTTATATATCTGTTTTGTGTCGAATTATGTCATTCTGCCAAAATGCCCTGCTTAAGCTATACATATATATAAATAAATACATGCTACCAAATGTGGAATCAATTCAGACATTATAGATGAAGTGCTCAAGTCAGGACCTCTCTGTACAGGTAGGCTAAACCTACAGGTATGCAGTCTCATTAATGCAACAAATAATGTTTAAAATGCTTTTATTATTTTTAATGATTAATCCAAACCCATGCGACACATAGAACCTTTAAAGGGACACTCCATTTTTTTGGAAATAGGCTAATTGTACAACTCCCCCAGAGTTAAATAGTTGA